TCTAATAATTTTTTTTTTTACTCTTGCGTTTTTTTGTGTAAATTTAATACACACGTTTGCGGACAATAAATGTTTCTGCAAGAAAAAAAAATATATATTAATGCAATAATGAAAGAATAATATAATAATGCATATGTATATATGTATATATATATATATTTATATTTAAACCCTAGAGGAGGTGGATGCACCGGGTATTTTTTTCTGTCCTTTTTAGGAAAATTCGAAAGGTGAAAAAGGCGAACGTCCGGCATTGTGTATAATTTGATGCGAATTGATTAAAGAAGAAATCTCGTCGCCGGCAGCCAATCGTACTTCACGCATATCGCCCCCGATAAACAAACAAATTAATTAATTAACTAACTAACAAACTATAATAACACGCAACGACTAAACAGACAAGACGACGGACCGTCAAGGAAAGCAATTTGAAAATTTTGGTCATCGCTAAAGAAAACAAAAAAAGAAAAGAGAAAAAAAGGGGACAAAAAAATAGAAAAAAAATACACACACACACACACAAACATACACACACACAAAGCTCTCTAATCTAATTCCAAAAAAGCACGAGTTCTTCGTTCGAATCGTACGTAATGGTAAAATATAGGAGGGTGGCTAAAGAAGAAGAGAAAAAAAAACAAAAGAGGAAGAGAGAAAGAGAGAGAGAGAGAGAGAGAGAGAGAGAGAGAGAGGAAGAATCGCAGTTATTTCAAAAAGGGTCGTCGCTATTATCATCATCACTATCATCATCCTTGCTACAATATTTAATTAATAATAATAATAACCACCGTCATCAACGAGCATCCCTTTTTACGTAAAGCTTCGGGAGCTATAGTTGCATTCTGTCCAATAAAATAAAATTAAAAAGAAAAAAAAAAAAAGAACGAAAAATTCAATAAAGGATCCACAACATCCGTTTTCTCTCTTCTATTAAAAAATTATTTAATCAAAGTGAAAAACGTTAAAAACGTAGTATCACAATAAGTCTTTTTGTATCATCTCGAGGAAAAGAAATGCAAAATGAGCAAAAGAAAAAAAAGAAGAAGAAGAAGAAGAGAAAATAATTAATTAATCATTTTATTTATATTAATTGCGTGTGGCGTATATAAAAGTCGTGTTTATGTTTTTTGAGAGAAACAAAAAAAAGGGCAAAGAAAGGAACGAATGAAAGTGTGGGGGGAAGAGAATGAGGGTGGAGTAAAAAAAGTGGGTGGGAGAGTTTTAATAATTTCTTTTTCTGTAGCTCCTATACGAATTTCTAAATCGATCGATAAATTCGATCGATAGATCGATCGATAGATCGTTTTTAGATT